GCTCCAGAGCACATGGGCCCTGTAGTTTGTGGCACACAGGCTCTCTAGTTGAGGTGCGCAAGCGCAGGAGTTGTGGCGCGCAGGCTTAGTTGCCCCGTGGCATGTGGGATCTTAGTTCCTTGACCAGGGATCGAACCTGCATCCCCTGCACTGTAAGGTGGATTCTTCACCACTCAACCACCAGGGATGTCCCCAGATTAGATTTTTTTAATGTACTTCCATCTTGTTTCCTCAGTCCCTTCTTTTGTTTATGGCTCTTCTCACCGGAACCCCTGACCCCAAGGCCTTCAGCCTGCCCTGAAGCACTCAGAGTTTCTCCCAAACTTCATCTGCCCCAAACTTTCCTTTCTTTAGGTGGTACCCTATCTGGGCTAGAAAGAAGGCAACCTGATTGAACTAAATAATGCTCAACTGTGAAAGACTCTCAAGCCCTGTTACCTCCCAGAGCTATCTGACTCTTTAAGAGTGGATACTAGGAATCTTTGGTGGAATTCCAGGCAATAAAAATAAGGTCTTTGTGTATTTGTTTGTATAGGCCATTTATAAGTCTAGAGTTGAGAAGGTGGGGCTACCCAGTCTGTGTTCCCCATTCAGATATATTTACTTTGTGACTTTAGTTAAGTAAATTTCTGCTTCCTAGTTTTATGGCTGCTTACATTTAATATCATTAAAATACTGTTTGGCATTTGATGGACTAAACTGAGCTATGAACTTTTTTCTAATGAATTAAAGTAGGAGATTAAAAACCTGCTTCTTCAAAAAGAACTTATGACTCATTGTCCTAAGTAGAAGAAATCATGTATTATTTCATCTCTTTTCTGATTGCTTCCTTTGAATGTTAAGTTGGCTGGATTACTCTATTTAGTTATATAGTAAATGGGTAGTTATCTTCCTAAGAGAAACTAGTTGTTGTTGTTGTTGTTTTAATCATGCATAAAGTGTATTTCATGATTTGGATTAAATAAATAATAGAAAAATCTGTTTACTTAGCTCCTCTTCCTTGAAGCACACTATTTCAAAACAAATAAGACTTATGTAATATGTCATAATGCTAATACCAGAAGTTTTAAGACCATGACATTTGAAACTTTGAGAGGAAAGAGTAGTTCATTAAATCAGTGGTTCCCAAACTCAGGTCACCAGATTGGCCCTGGATAATTATATCATCATCATCACCATCATCATCGGTAATGTTTGTTAAGTATTTAATTTATAACAACCTCATATGAGATACTATTATCATCTCCATTTCATAGGGGAAGGCCCAGAGAGGTTAAGTACCTTGTTCAAAGTTATTCAGATAATACATAGTAAAGCCAGGATATAAACTCTGGCAGTTTCAAATTTCCTCCCTTCCCCTTCCCACCCAATTTTGATTCAGTAGGCCTGGAATGGGCCCTGGAATCAGTATTCAAATCCCCAGGTGATTCTGAAGCAAAGACAGGTTTGGGAACTCTCTCATTAAATGAATTAACTTTGCACTGGGTAGCTAGTTCCTTACTCAGGTCTTAGAAACAGTAGCTCATATGGCTGGTCAAGAGACACAGTATCCTTTCAAATTTGGTTAGTAAACAATTTTGAACCTCTTCAGTGTTCTTCAGGCTCAATGCCCAGGGGCCTGGGGAACGTCAGGAAATAGTGCCTGACCAAGGCACAGACCACGTAGTTTAAAGGCATATGTGAGAGGTTGGCAATCAGGGAGAGATCACCAAAGCCTGCGCAGAAGGTGCAAAGTAGGCTTCCTGAAAGTGGATGTGAGCTGGATATGAAAAAGGGAGGACGATTTGCAGATGTAGGAAAGGAGGACGGACCATTTCTGTTTGTTCGGGGAACAGACAGAAGCAAGCATTCATAATTGAAGGCTGGTGAGTCAAGGCTGGTATTTGTGGGCCAACAGTAGACTTAGCAGGATGGGATGAAGTTGCGAGTTCCTTTTGGGAAATGGCTAGAGATAAATTTGGAAAAGTAAGTTAGGACAAGATGATGGTCAACCTTAGGTGCCAGGTCAGAGTTTGGATTGAACCCTATAAATAATGAGGAGCCACTGAAAAGTCTGAAAGGACAAAGATTCAGTGATGCCGGTATCAGTTTGGAAAAACCATCGGCGGTCAGTCACTACACAGGCTGGAAGGATATAGCAGCGAAGAGAACCAGGAAAACCATTCAGAAGGGTAAAGGGACAATACAGGTGTGGGAAAACATCATAGTAAAGGAGTGGATGTACCCGGACTTGGGAGTCACTGGATCAGCTTATGCCACTGATCAAGCTGAGAGATTTGGAGCAAATTGCCTAGAATCTCTGAGTCTTGGGTTTTTCTTTGGAAAGTGGGTGTGATGATGATAACGAATGCCCGCACAGATTGAGCCAAAATAGACAGAGGAGTTCTCTAGGACGGTGACTAGCTCTGAGATGCAAGGTCCACGGGTCAGTATTTTGAGTTTTCAGGCCCATATGACTTGGAAAATGTCAGTGTTATCAACAACGAACTAGGGCAGTCACTCGATTTCCACTGTATGGAAGACGAGGAAAGAAAGGGAACTAACACTTGCTGTTTCAGGAAGTATGCTGGAATTACAAAGGAATTACCCTTCACGACAACCTTATGAGATAGGTATTTTAATGCCCATATAACAGTTGGCTTAACCAGAGCAAAAGATGGTGGTTTGAGTTTGAATATAAACCAAGGTCTACCTAAATCTACAACATGGGCTTTTTGAACTTCGTCATATTGTTTTAGACTCGTAAAGTTCTATTTTATTTCATTGGTTTTGGCCTAATATTCTAGTCTGAGACTATGTTGAATTTTTTTTTTTTTTTCTGAATTTTGCTTCTAACATCTAACAAGTTAATTACCCCTCCAAACTTTGGGTCATCTGAAAGGGGGACAACATCAATTTTGCGGAGATGGGGGAGAAAGATGGAGGAAGAATGTTTTGATGTGGAAAGAGAATAGGTGGCCTTGGTTCACTAGGTTGGAGGCAAGCTTACCTGCCCAGAGTAGAAGTGGTATAGATGCAACCGGTTGTGAAGTGGACATAAAAGTCAGTGGCGTAGGGGACTTCCCTGGTGACGCAGTGGTTGAGAATCCACCTGCCGCTGCAGGGGACACGGGTTCGAGCCCTGGCCCAGGAAGATCCCACATGCCATGGAGCAACTAAGCCCGTGCACCACAACTACTGAGCCTGCACTCTAGAGCCCATGAGCCACAACTAGTGAGCCCGTGTGCCACAACTACTGAAGCCTGCGCATCTAGAGCCCATGCTCCACAACAAGAGAAGCCACCACCATGAGAAGCCTGCGCACTGCAACGAAGAGCAGCCCCCGCTCACTGCAACTGGAGAAAGCCTGTGCGCAGCAATGAAGACCCAACATAGCCAAAAATAAATAAATAAATTTTTTTTTTTTTTTTAAAGTCAATGTCATAGTCTAAGAGCTAAGAATAATAGTGCAGATGAGTGGAGAGCAAAGGCTAGAAGGAAGTTAAGAACCAGGAATTGAGGTAATGAGAAGTGAGGAGGATGGTATAGGTGGACTAAATCCTTCTGTTAAGGAAAAAGAGAGGTTGGAAGAAAAAAACAGTAAAGAGAAAGTTGACCCACTCAGCTCATGTATTAGCTCTGGGAAGTCACAGGCAAGGAGACCATATTGAATGATGAGATGGGAGAGGGCAGATTAAGGGAAATTGGAGATGAGATACCTTGTCTGAGGAAGGCACAGGGAAGAAGTAAGGATCTAAGAGAAGCCATATACCTACAGTGGAAAGCATTGTCTGCAGGGAGAAGCCTTCCAATTGTACCTTCAGTCTAACCATGTGCCCACAAAATAGTTAAATGCATCCAGGTTTCTTCTGAATATTTAGAAGTACAGGGTGTAAACCGAGAATCTAAAAATCCTCACACAGACTGAGATCACATACTTCGGTGACAAGTATAGACAAATGCCATATTCTTAAAGATACTTAACAGATGCTGACAAAAGACCACTTTTTAATAGGAGGAACCCCATCTACTAGTGGGATATTTCTTCTAAGAGAAACCCATATTCCTCAGGAAAGAGAGGACTATGGGGGTAGCCCTCTGCTCTGGGCCTAGGATTTCCACCCCAAGGTGATACTTAATGTTTTAGTTTGGAGCAAAACAGGAAGTTAACATTCATCAAGTTTGTTGCCCAGATAATCTGAAATCCTTCCACGCTTGTTCATGGACCACGGGTATGAAAGCAGAAGCCCCTCCAAGTCCACGCTTCTCACCCGTGCGACCTTAGGAAGCCAGGTGGCTATTTGTGCTGCCAAAATTTGTATTTCAAGTACCCAATTGTGAGTTAATTTCACTTGAATGCGATGAACTACTCCAGACCGCACGTGAAAACAATCCTATTCTATAGTCAAACCTCATCCCATCCATATATGTAAAATCTTCAGTTCCATTCTTGATTTGTCTTTACAGAGATTAATAGTAAAGGGAATCTTTGTCAACATTTGCCTAAAAAAGAGTCGGTTAAAGATTTTGAAGAGGGAAGCTAGTTTTGGTTTGATTTTAAAGAAATAGGAGAGACACGCCGAGGAGCTCGGGCTTTCATGTGCGGATCGCCGAGGCCCGCAGGTGTCCTGGGGCTCGAGAATGGACGACACGTTTATCTCTAGTCTGTACCTGCTTTTCAGGGCCACTCGCCCATCTCAGACTTTATCAGCCGGTCGGGATATGGCTTTTGGTTATTCTCCCAGCCGGGGAGGCAGATCCACCGGGTGCACGTGTGTGCGCGCAGGAGGGGAGCAGGAGTGGGTGTGTAAGACCCCCTCCTCCGGGGTGTCTTGGGGCAGGTGCTCCCCAGGCTGCTGCCCCGACCTAAGAAGGTGACCCCTCCTCGTTCGGCCCAAAGTGGCGGGAAGCCGGGTCCTTAGAGGCGGCCTCTAGGAGAGGGAGGCTGTAAAACCTGGAGGAGGATCCGCTGCGCCCGGTCGGGGAGGGCGCCGGGGTTCGGAGCCAGGGGCCGCGGGCTTTCAGGTAGAGAACAGCCCCGCGAGCGGGTCCTCGGTGGCGCTGGGGGGCCGGGGGACGGGGCCGCCGGCGGGCGGGAGGTTTCCGGGCCCCTCCCGCGCCGCGGGCTGGTGGGGAGATGGCGGCGACGGTTTCCCGGTTCCCCCGCCCCGGACGCCGATGGCGGTGCGTTCCGGCCCTCCCCCACCAGCTTCTTCCCCACGGGAGCCGTAGCCGGTGAGGCGGGGAGGGCGGGGAGCGGCGGAGGAAAGGCTAGAGGGCGGAGGTTGCGTGGTGCAGGCGGCGGCGGCGGCGGCGGCGGGAGGAGGGCCGGCGGGCGGGCAGGGAGGAGGAGGAGGCGGGAGCCGTGTCGCACGCAGCTCCAGGCGGGGCAGCCCCGGCGGCTGAGGGACGCGGCGAGACCTTGGCGGGACGGGGATTTAACCGGGGCAGGGCCCAGCGGTAGGGGACTTCCCTGGTGACGCAGTGGTTGAGAATCCACCTGCCGCTGCAGGGGACACGGGTTCGAGCCCTGGCCCAGGAAGATCCCACATGCCATGGAGCAACTAAGCCCGTGCACCACAACTACTGAGCCTGCACTCTAGAGCCCATGAGCCACAACTAGTGAGCCCGTGTGCCACAACTACTGAAGCCTGCGCATCTAGAGCCCATGCTCCACAACAAGAGAAGCCACCACCATGAGAAGCCTGCGCACTGCAACGAAGAGCAGCCCCCGCTCACTGCAACTGGAGAAAGCCTGTGCGCAGCAATGAAGACCCAACATAGCCAAAAATAAATAAATAAATTTTTTTTTTTTTTTTAAAGTCAATGTCATAGTCTAAGAGCTAAGAATAATAGTGCAGATGAGTGGAGAGCAAAGGCTAGAAGGAAGTTAAGAACCAGGAATTGAGGTAATGAGAAGTGAGGAGGATGGTATAGGTGGACTAAATCCTTCTGTTAAGGAAAAAGAGAGGTTGGAAGAAAAAAACAGTAAAGAGAAAGTTGACCCACTCAGCTCATGTATTAGCTCTGGGAAGTCACAGGCAAGGAGACCATATTGAATGATGAGATGGGAGAGGGCAGATTAAGGGAAATTGGAGATGAGATACCTTGTCTGAGGAAGGCACAGGGAAGAAGTAAGGATCTAAGAGAAGCCATATACCTACAGTGGAAAGCATTGTCTGCAGGGAGAAGCCTTCCAATTGTACCTTCAGTCTAACCATGTGCCCACAAAATAGTTAAATGCATCCAGGTTTCTTCTGAATATTTAGAAGTACAGGGTGTAAACCGAGAATCTAAAAATCCTCACACAGACTGAGATCACATACTTCGGTGACAAGTATAGACAAATGCCATATTCTTAAAGATACTTAACAGATGCTGACAAAAGACCACTTTTTAATAGGAGGAACCCCATCTACTAGTGGGATATTTCTTCTAAGAGAAACCCATATTCCTCAGGAAAGAGAGGACTATGGGGGTAGCCCTCTGCTCTGGGCCTAGGATTTCCACCCCAAGGTGATACTTAATGTTTTAGTTTGGAGCAAAACAGGAAGTTAACATTCATCAAGTTTGTTGCCCAGATAATCTGAAATCCTTCCACGCTTGTTCATGGACCACGGGTATGAAAGCAGAAGCCCCTCCAAGTCCACGCTTCTCACCCGTGCGACCTTAGGAAGCCAGGTGGCTATTTGTGCTGCCAAAATTTGTATTTCAAGTACCCAATTGTGAGTTAATTTCACTTGAATGCGATGAACTACTCCAGACCGCACGTGAAAACAATCCTATTCTATAGTCAAACCTCATCCCATCCATATATGTAAAATCTTCAGTTCCATTCTTGATTTGTCTTTACAGAGATTAATAGTAAAGGGAATCTTTGTCAACATTTGCCTAAAAAAGAGTCGGTTAAAGATTTTGAAGAGGGAAGCTAGTTTTGGTTTGATTTTAAAGAAATAGGAGAGACACGCCGAGGAGCTCGGGCTTTCATGTGCGGATCGCCGAGGCCCGCAGGTGTCCTGGGGCTCGAGAATGGACGACACGTTTATCTCTAGTCTGTACCTGCTTTTCAGGGCCACTCGCCCATCTCAGACTTTATCAGCCGGTCGGGATATGGCTTTTGGTTATTCTCCCAGCCGGGGAGGCAGATCCACCGGGTGCACGTGTGTGCGCGCAGGAGGGGAGCAGGAGTGGGTGTGTAAGACCCCCTCCTCCGGGGTGTCTTGGGGCAGGTGCTCCCCAGGCTGCTGCCCCGACCTAAGAAGGTGACCCCTCCTCGTTCGGCCCAAAGTGGCGGGAAGCCGGGTCCTTAGAGGCGGCCTCTAGGAGAGGGAGGCTGTAAAACCTGGAGGAGGATCCGCTGCGCCCGGTCGGGGAGGGCGCCGGGGTTCGGAGCCAGGGGCCGCGGGCTTTCAGGTAGAGAACAGCCCCGCGAGCGGGTCCTCGGTGGCGCTGGGGGGCCGGGGGACGGGGCCGCCGGCGGGCGGGAGGTTTCCGGGCCCCTCCCGCGCCGCGGGCTGGTGGGGAGATGGCGGCGACGGTTTCCCGGTTCCCCCGCCCCGGACGCCGATGGCGGTGCGTTCCGGCCCTCCCCCACCAGCTTCTTCCCCACGGGAGCCGTAGCCGGTGAGGCGGGGAGGGCGGGGAGCGGCGGAGGAAAGGCTAGAGGGCGGAGGTTGCGTGGTGCAGGCGGCGGCGGCGGCGGCGGCGGGAGGAGGGCCGGCGGGCGGGCAGGGAGGAGGAGGAGGCGGGAGCCGTGTCGCACGCAGCTCCAGGCGGGGCAGCCCCGGCGGCTGAGGGACGCGGCGAGACCTTGGCGGGACGGGGATTTAACCGGGGCAGGGCCCAGCGACCAGGTGGAGACGTCGCCGGAGCCATTTAGGCACCCGGGAAATGCGGGTGAGTGTCGACGGCGCCGGGGCCGAGGAGAGTCGGCGGCGCAGGCCCGGCCCGGAGCCGCGGTGTCGCAGTGACTGGGGCCGCGGCGGCCGAGCCCAGGCGCCGGGCGAGGCCTGAGCCGCCGAGCCGCGGCTGGGCGGAATGGCGGCTGGG